GAGTCAGAAGCAGGCCACCGTGCATCGTTGGTGGCTGACCTCCGAGGACAGGTGCCTCTGTATCCTTCAGTAGGCGCTCACACTCTTGCAAATAGCCCCTCTGCCAGTTTCCTCGATTTGAGTTAACCAAACAGACAGTTGCCTTGTGACAGAGAAACACTCATAAAGCCTGCGTAGCTGCATGCATGATCAGCCGCAGGGACTTCAGCATCTCAGGGTGTGTCTTTCCTGCCACAGACTGACAGGCTACGGTTGCCGGCAATCCCAGTGACGGGGGGACAAAGGAAAACATCCCGGAGGTTTTGACTGTCCTCGCCAGTGTTTGTTTACGTAGTTTAGGAGAAATACACCAACATTGCGTTACATTTGTAATCCCTCTGTAATTAAATGCGACTTCTCTGATGGCCTTTTGGATTTTGCAGAGGCATTGGTGCGGTGGAGTGTGTGAGCAGATGTGACTGCGTTTAAGAATTTAATGCAGCAGTGTCACGGCTCATTGTAACTGTTCCAGAGACGAACAGTTGTGCTTCTCCTTGTCAAGGAAAGCTCTCCACTACGCCAGTAAGCATTTGAATATTTCAGGTTTGGAATTTTTTCATCCCGTTTAAATGGTGTCAGAGATCTCTTACCCACCATGCTCTCCACCAGCCGCTGTGCGCACTGTTTGAACACAGGTGATTTGTTTTCCTCTTTTATGCGTCACTGTACTCCCCCTTTCCCCCAGCTCTCCTCCTTCCCTTCTGTTTTTATTTTGGCTGAAAATTGTGTTGGATTATTTCAACACATTTTTCCTTTATCCCGTTGGAAGCCAGTTTCAAGTGGAGAGGATTACGTTGTTAAATGCGTTTCCTTTTGGTACAAAGCTCCAAAGCCACACACCACTAAAAAGGGACGTTGATAAGAAAATTGTGTCAAGTACACTACCTCACCTCACAACTCACCTCCCCCTCAACCTCCCTGTCTACTCCATATCTCCCTTCTTTCCTACCCACCATTCTCACCCAGTCAAATAGTTAATTTTCTATTTTGGACTATTTTGATACGTAGTGTGTGTGTTTAAAAAGTACGGGAAGCCAACCCCACTGTGGTTTGTTGTTGGAAATAAAATTTTAAAAAATCTCAAATGCATTTTTCAGGAAGCCCGTGTAACATTTGAACATTGTTCTTCTTGGTTATATTTTTTACTCATTACTTCTCTCTAGTGCTGCCACCGTTGTGAGAGGAAAGGGAAAAAAGCAACAATCTAATGATTTAGCAATGTTGCAGGAGAGAGACCATGACTGAATGGCAGCCACCTTCTCTTTGTCCTCGAAAGGCAGAAAGTGACATGTAGTAGATTTGGTGTGTCGTGTGTAGTCGTGGCAGCAGAGGCATGATATCCAGGAAAGCTGATGTCATTCTCTTTTGAAGCTCATGGAAAGTGAAATCAATACGTATGTTTGTCTGACGTGTATGTGCATGTACAGAATACTGCCTGTTGTTTGTCTGCAGCAAATTCAAGATGAACTTCGACCATTTAAATTCAGCTCTTGTTATTGATGTCTTTCCTGACGTCCTGATGTAAAGGAAAATCTTTCACACCTAATATTCACCGGTTTGTTTCTCTCTCTATCTGCAGTATAACTTCGTGGGGAGAATTCTTGGCCCTCGGGGACTCACAGCCAAACAGTTGGAAGCAGAGACTGGATGTAAAATCATGGTGCGAGGCAAGAGCTCCATGAGAGACAAGAAGAAGGTAAGCTCATCAGCATTGCAGTGTACCCAGTGTGTATAATGTCCTTTTATCTCTTCGTAACTGTATTACTCATTAGATAAAGGTCCACTCACGTAAATAAAAAACAGCCATACATTTATTTTAACAGAACACACTAAAGCTCACTTCTTTTCTTTCTCCACAAGGATTTATTCTCTGTCTTGAGATATTACACAATAACGTGAAACTAGCTGGGACTGTCACACAACAACATCCCACTAGTCCTGTAGAAACATGAGGCAGACACAAGCTCTGTTGATGCCTGGTGGCTGCATTCTGACATCTGATAGGGTTGTTTGCAAAACGCTGTGCAGTGGAAAGTACAGAACTCGGTAGTAAAGCAGACAGCTAAGGCCAGGGGCAGCCTCTATTTCTGGCCCTACTGAGCTGAGGTTGAAGACATAAAAGGCTAATGTTGTGTGTCTATATATCCTGAGACCCAAGGGGAGAACTTATGTAAAAACCTTTTTGTGCTATTTTACCTGCAAATTGTGCATGTTCTGGCCTTAAACAACCCCGTCACATCGCATTTAAAAATCCGGACTGACAGTTGAAAAATAATGTTGATGAAAGTCAGACTGTGTTTCATGTTGTCATGTATTGAACAAGTATCAGGTCAACCTCGCAGTTGTATGTCTACAAAGTTGAGTCATGGCACATTCTACAGAAACAGCGACTTACACGCATCCTCTAGGGGTTCCAAAGTGTGTCAGATCAGATTTGGTGACGTACTTTGAAGCTACTGTGAGGACAAATCGACAGTTTTGAAAATGGTTTCAAGCATCTGTGCATGTTTT